ATCTACTATTTATTTCTAATAGGAAGACAAAACATAGTAAAATGTCACATAAGAAAGTCTCAAATGAGAAATAACTCCCTAATACAACTTACTGAGCTCAACATTTAAGACAGGGAAATATAAAATAAGCTAAGAATTCTTTATGTCACTGATTTAAAGGAAATAGAAAAATAGAAACTGAATTTTCCTACCTATTCCTTAAACCATTGGATCAAATTCAATGTGTATCAGAACAAATCAATATATTTGTTTGATACCAATATTATTTCTCCATGACCTTTTCCTTAGTATGCACATCTGCTATTCTTATTTAGCTAACAATCATATTAAGGCAGTTTTCTAAATTGGCTTTAAAAATTTTATTTTAAAATGTCTGTGTACTTAAAATTTGATTTTTAAAACTTTTACACATATCAAAATACCCTATACACATTATATAGCCAACTCCTAACAATCCATCAGCAACCAGATTGCATTAAGATATACCTCTAGCAAATCTTGGTTTCAGGTACTTATTGACCTTTTGTTTAGTTTATGTTAACTCTTCTGTTGATATAAAAGATGATTTTGTAATGGTGTGAGTGCTGAAAGAGAAGGCCATTTGTTTTACAGCCTAATTCTCTCACACTATCCACCTGTGCCATGTGAGAGCAGAGCATGTGAACTAATTAAGCTTATGTTTTGCATCCTTTCCCAGTCCATATTGGGCAAAAAGCAGTCTGCAAGTTTGTAAGGCTTCCTCTCCTGCATCTTGCCTTTTCAAATGAATTGATTTTTTTCATGTGAACTTTTATGGGTCCTCTGAATTTCAGCTATACTTATTTGTAGATGTAAATGAAGAAACACTTATTTCCAAGCCAAATCAGTATAATTTTAGGTCTAAGTATACTCCAGAACTCTCCTTTAAGTCCTGATAATTAAAAATTAACACTTAAAAAACAGTGTTTGTGGTTGTCACAACCACCCACCTATTCAGAGATCAGAGATCATATATGCCTCAGTCATGTGAAACTAAGAAGAAAAAGCTGCAGTTAGTGTTAACCATACTTCTTAAGTTTAGTATATATTAAAGATTTGCCTTAAAATTAATAAAACTCTGAAAGCAGCTAGAAATGAAAACTGACAGTAGAGGTCTGAAAGACTATATGAGGGCATTTCTAACTCGACATAAAAGATATTCTTAATGATCAGGCTGAAGCATCTAAGAATTACTGAAATTATTTAAACTCTATATTTAGAAAACATGCATGTACTTTAGGAATACTGCCATCACAAACAGTTAAACATTTATATTGGCTCAAATAGTAAACGCTAGTTAACTGGGAAATACATTTGTTTGAAATCCTTCATTCTTCATAATACTAGGTAAATGAAGAATTGTTATCCATAGTGTTTTTAAAAAATCAAGAGGGTCATACAGAAAATAGAATGCAATCCTCAAGGCTTTTTATAAAATAATACCTTAGAGTATAAAGGTATCTACAAGATTAAAATTGACAAACTGCCTTCCTAAAAAATCATATTACCAATGGCAGGAAGAGAATCTCCTGCATTAGCCAGAGAACTATAAAGCAGCTGAGCCTTAGCAGAGATCATCAGTGCACTGGAGTCAGAGGGAAACACCAGGAAAACCTACATTCTGCAAATTATTTCCCATTATGTTTTATTTCAACCTAATTCTATTATTAAATATAACAAAATAGAAATAACAAATATAAACTCCTTTTCATTAATGTCCTGTAACTAAACAAAATATGACATATTTAAACATATCTCTTCATCAGCAAAAATAAACAAAACCTCTTAGTTTTTCCTATGTTCTTCAAACCTACAAAACAGTAAATGTTATTTCAGTTTAGCTAACAGTATATTAAAAATACAATAGAATAAAGTACACTGTCTTGATTAAAAATTTCAATTCATCTTGAAACCATTGGGGAAGAAGTTTTCATCTTGAGGTGGAAGGAGTCTCTGGAGACAAAAGCACTTATTTGCCCATTCAATTTTCAATCTAGTCAGTGATTCAAGTTAAACTGATCAAAACTACTCAGGCAGCGCTGATTTTCAGTCTGCTGCTATGATGACTGCTGAACAGGGCAAATTTGCTCACTAGCCCCATCCAGTACTTTTGATTAGTACCACTGATCAGAAGTTCAGCATGTAGCTCACAGATCATGAGTGTGGATTCTTTAGTGTGTTCTGATAGCCATTGTTACTTCTTTGTACTTCTTTGAGTCTTTACATCTCCTCCTGCTACATTTTTTTTTTTTTTTTTTTGAGACGGAGTTTCGCTCTTGTTACCCAGGCTGGAGTGCAATGGCGCGATCTCGGCTCACCGCAACCTCCGCCTCCTGGGTTCAGGCAATTCTCCTGCCTCAGCCTCCTGAGTAGCTGGGATTACAGGCACGCGCCACCATGCCCAGCTGATTTTTTGTATTTTTAGTAGAGACGGGGTTTCACCATGTTGACCAGGATGGTCTCGATCTCTTGACCTCATGATCCAACCACCTCGGCCTCCCAAAGTGCTGGGATTACAGGCGTGAGCCACCGCGCCCGGCCTCCTCCTGCTACATTTTAAAGCATTTTTATAGTGTGTAGCGTAGCCTAATAAAGTATTTTTATGGCAAAAAAAAAAAAAAAGATGAGCATGTAACTCATAGATCATGGGCTACATGCTGAACTTTTGATCAGTGGTACTAAGAGCTAAATAGGATCCCCATAATTTATTTTCAAACATAAATAAAAATGGACATTTAAACAAGTTAGGGATATTATATCAAATTTAAGACTAGTGCTACTATCTTTAATAGTCGATTTAATAACAAATGTATAGCATGCCAGAATAAAAATTATTTTTCTTATTAAGGAAAATTTATCTTAATTTTTTTTTTTTGAGACAAAGTCTCACTCTGTAGCCTAGGCTGGAGTGCAGTGGTATAATTAGGGCTCACTGCAGCCTCGACCTCTCGGGCTCAAGTGATCGATCCTCCCACCTCAGCCTCTCAAGTATTGGAGACCACATGCGCATGCCACCATGCCTGGCTAATTTTTGTGGTTTTTTTGTAGAGATGGGATTTCGCCATGTTGCCCAGGCTGGTCTTGAACTCCTGGGTTCAAGTGATCCTTCTGCTTTGGTCTCCCGAAGTGCAGGGAATATAGGCATGAGCCACTGCACCTGGCCTAGATTTTTCTTTTGTGCTTTCAGCTATTTCTAACCATGTTTTACCTATGGGCAAATCTCAATTGTAAGAGAAGTCAGCATGTAATTGAAAAATGGCAGATAAATGCCTTATATTTTAAAAGATTATACTCTTTCTATGCATCTTTCCATAGCTATTTCTTACAGGAAAAAAACCAAGAGCATATCCAGGGGACTGGTAAAATAGTCTACAGTCAGAGCACATGGGAATTGAGACACTCCCATGTGTTTCTGTGTCTTACTCTTCTTTGCATATTTTTCACCAGTAGGATTACTGCAAGGGCGAATATCATTTACTATTTGACAAACAATAAAAATGGAGGCAAAAGAGTATTTGAACAAAAATCTTTGTGACAACTGTGAAGCTTCCTAGAAAATTGGTGGAGGAAGGCAGCTTTATAAAGGGCTTCTCCTAAATGCCTTGGGAAAAAATGACAGCATCACAAAATTAGAGAAAGTACAGTTATGGGGTCTCTCTGGATGTGTAGAAAACAGCCACAAAAATACGTTAATGGCAATAAAAACCCCGCCACAGAAGTTTGCATTTAATTGAAAAATCAACCTTATAAAGTATGAAAACCTTTGTTGAATTATAAAATTATTTATATTCCAAGTTTTTTGAAAACTTCAACACCTACAGCATTTTGGTGTTGAAGGAATGAATCTAAGTTCTTTGGAATCTTATCTCAAGAAACAAGGGAACTGCGCCAGTGCAACATTTTAACTTTTCAATCTATATTTTTACCTTTTGGGAAACAGAGCAGCAAGAAGTTAAAAAGAGTTGACCCCAAAAATGTACAGGTGGATAAGCCTCCAAGTAGCAGCCAAAGAAATATTCAGCATTTCAAAAGCTTCTTAAATGTACAGTGGTAAGAAAATATTTTTATAGGATCCCCATAATTTATTTTGATGTCCACAAGGCAAAGAATTTGTATTGAAAACTTTACTTTGTTAGGGTAATGTTTTGAGCCTTCAGATAATGCTACTTTAACTGAAATGAAAATCTTTGATGATACAGTTTCTAAAACTGTAATCCCTATTGATTTGTACATCTCTTTTTTGTGTAGGAGACACGGCAGTTAGAGAAGTTTTTGAAGAGACTGGTATAAAATCAGAATTCAGGTCCCTCCTGAGTATTCGGCAACAGCACACAAATCCTGGAGCTTTTGGGAAGTCAGATATGTATATCATCTGCCGCCTAAAGCCATACTCATTCACCATAAATTTTTGCCAGCATGAATGCTTAAGATGTGAGTGGATGGATCTCAATGACCTGGCCAAGACTGAAAATACAACTCCTATCACCAGCAGAGTTGCTAGGCTGCTGCTATATGGGTACAGAGAAGGGTTTGACAAAATTGACCTGACTGTGGAAGAACTTCCAGCAGTTCACACCGGGCTGTTTTATAAACTCTATCACAAGGAACTGCCAGAGAATTATAAAACTATGACAGGAATTGATTAAATTCACATTTGTATGTTTAGAAACATGTAGACTAACAAATGACATAAGAAATAGTGGACGTTTGGGATTAAATATCTGACTGTAATTTTCTAATAGATATGATTTCCATGAAGAAATTTTGTTTCTAAACGTACACATTTTAAAATCCTCTTTTCAAATAAAGCAAATGCATGAAAAAGATCATTGCTCTAGGTAAGCTTCACTGGGTAACAGCAGATGCTATATAAAAGGGGGAAGTCTATACATTTTTAAACAATTTTTGTTAGTTTTCTTCACTGGGACAATGGTTACATATTTTACTACTGGATAAAAAGTTATTTGACCAGTTATCTAAACTGAGCTGTATACATTTATTTTCTTTTTCTCTCATTAACAAATTTCTAAAATATACTTCTTCTTTCATGTGAAATGAGATTAGATGTGGCCATTAAAATCAGCTCTTAGCAGACATTGGAAGAAAAAGTATAGCTTTCTGCCCAGGTCCTGTTTTGGATCCAAGTTTATACTGCCCAGTTCGTTTCAGTGCCACATACCAACTGGTGTATTTCCTTGATCGGTAAGTATTGTAGTTATTAGATTCCAATCGTTCAAAAAAGAAACACTCATCCGTAACACATTTCTGAAAAATAAAGGAAGAATTATTATTATTACACTTTTCATCTTAAATATTTATGATAGTACAATGGCCAGTCTGCTCAACCAGCAGCAGTGCTATTACGTTCAGCAGAGCAATCACACTAAGAAGATTCAATGGGCCAAAATATATATGACACAGAGTAGCTCTGAAGAAGGATGCAAACCAGGAACGCAGCATGCCAGCAGGACAGCATCAAGTATGTCTCTTCAGTAGGAGTGCAGAGACCATTCTCCAGCTCCAAAACAGGTCAGGTGTTAAACACAAGGAAGGACATACCTAGTAAGAAGCAGCACACTACGGGAAGCCCAAAGCTATAGCTTCCAGCTGTATTTATGATCCACCCACACCCCTCCCAGTTCCAAGGCAGATTACCAGTCAGGGGTCATTTTTACTTTTATCAGCGGTACAGTGAAGCAGTAGTAGAAGGCTAACCCAGTGTAATCTTTCCGTACAGAAGAAGGAGGTTTGTTAATACTTGACTCACAAACAGAATTAATCCCCCAATTTTTAACTAAAATTTTTAAGTGGCTAATGTTTTAAGGCATAATAAAGAATAGTTTATTGTACAGAAAATAGCTAGTGGTATATAATGCCAAAAATAATATTGGAATATTATATTACATATGATTAACAATCTCCAAACACTGTTAGACAATGAGAAATAAGTAATGATCATGCTGATTTCCAGCAGGCTCCTTCTCAAGGGATAGATTTTGCCTTTTAATTTCAATTCAACTATTTATTAGAAAAAAAGAATAGCTGGCTTTCAAATAGACCTGGAAATAATACTCCAAGTAATGGAATCTAATAGCTACCATATTATTTAAGATACGTGTTCAAAAAGCAACTTCACAGGATGGCACTGATGATACCTCTGGGGGAAAAATCAATTTATTCACTTCAAAATAAAAAAGAGAAAATCATTTTTATAATTATGGTTGTGTATGTGTCTGTGTGTGTGTATATATATATATATAAACAAATTTACATGTGTTTTCTATATAAGTTTATAATTCTGTATATATAGAGAGAATTATAAACTTATCTAAACACATAAATATAAGATGTATACAGAGGTATATAAATATATGGTTTTATATTAATACCACATTCCGGGCTGGGCACAGTGGCTCACACCTGTAATCCCAGCACTTTGAGTGGCTGAGGCAGGTAGATCACGAGGTCAGACATTCAAGAACATCCTGGCCAACACAGTGAAACCCTATGACTACTAAAAATACAAAAAATTAGCCAGGTGTGGTGGCGGGTGCCTGTTATCCCTTTCAGGAGGCTGAGGAAGGAGAATTGCTTGAACCTGGGAGGTGGAGGTTGTAGTAAGTCGATCACACCACTGCACTCCAGCCCAGGTGACAGTGCGAGACTCCGTCTAAAAAAAAATACCACTTCCAGTTTATTTCTATATGCTCATATCTAGAAGATTTCAGGTTTGGAAAAACCCACATAAAAAAGACTTGAACCCTTTCCCAGATTCCATGATTCTAAGATAAGGCAAACAATGGCACAAGTTGTGACAAAAACAAACTGACAAAACAAGGAAAAGAGCTGGCATAACAAAAATGATAAGTAAAGCCTGGGAAAGAACTATAAGTGACAAATTTGTCTCAGCCATCTAAAGTAAGGGTATGATATTAGATCCTGTAATCTTATAAGAATTTTACTGGATATTTACTTGATTTTAGTATCTTGATCACTGTTAATTGGATTTTTAAAAACTGAAATACAAACTTAACTAATTTTCCCATTATGTAATATGTTACTAATAAACTCAATTCTTTATGATGCCAATAAATCACAACCTTACAAAGAAGCACACGTTGACAGGACCTAGCTATATGATACATGAGTGTCTTGTGCTGTTCATAAAGATTCAAATGTGGTAAGAGCGAAACACCTAAACCTGGAATAATATAGACCAACATATTCCAAATCCAATACTTTTACTCTACCTCTAGTGAAATTTAGTGCCCCTCTCATGTGAACTGAAGTTAACCTGTATTACTTTATTCTGTCATCTTCATTGCCATTGATAAAAGAAAAAAACTTCCCTTTTCCCTATTCCAGGTTTAAGATCAGGAATAGAAGTGGAAGGGAAATAAAGAATGAAAGAAAAATTCATAATAATCATAAAGACACCATGAAAGGTCACCATGGAGCTTCACAGGCCAATTCCTCAGAGGTAAATTTAAACAACAGCATTTGGTCAGTTCATTTGTTGATGTTCTATCAGCTTCCCGGATGCCCCACCTTGCTAGCTGGCACTCCCTACAATGCTTGGCCTACTGGAATACTAACCATGCCAATAATGTTTGCCTTTTCAACCAGTTCCTAATATTTCAGAGAAAAGAAACAGTACCAGGAACTAAGTGGTATGTGATAGAACCCACAACTTATTTATTTATTACAGAAGTTACTTCTACCTTTGGGGGGAAAAAAAAAAAAACGGTGAAGGGAAAGAAAACTGACATCTATGCTGAATGTTCAGCAATGTAAATTTAGTAAACAACTGTTTTGCTCTTGAAAACAAACTGCATTTTTTAAAAAATGAGTAGTAGGGCCAAAATTTAGTTCTCAAGAAAAGTAGCCATTTAACAGCGCAGTATAAATACAATTTTCAATTCTCTCCATTCCAACTTTCCAAATCATCTTCACTGACTGTGATCTCAGTGTTCCTACTAAAAACTGGTGCAATATAATTTTATTAATCTTTATAAACATATTTAAAGAACTCTTTTCCTATTCTCCATGTTTGCTCACCATTTCAAACTTCAGATAAAAAGCGGTGTTCAGAGGAATGCCACCACAAAGTGGCTTCTAAGGGCTTATAACAACTTGTACCTTGTCTCCAAGGCCTTATTTTATATAGGCCTAAGAGCTGAGAAATCCCTTAATGCATGATTATGGACTGCTTTTATGCATATAATTTTCTTTAAAAATCACAACAATATTTTAAGATGAGTATAACATTATGATACTCATTAACAAGTGAGGAATTTAAAACGCAGTGCTTTTGGTAACATTTCAGATTTTGGATACCTTCTGCCCTTGTATCTACTTGATACCTTTATATCAAATTAAGTTTTCCTTTATTTATTGCTTTTTTTAAATTGAAGAATAATTTAGAGGTATAGGCAGCACAAAGTTCAAATAATACATTTATTCATTCAATCTATATATGTTTTTCTTCTAGGCATCTAGGACACATCAATGAATAAAACTGCACAAGAGCCCTGCCTTTATGCCACCCAAATTCTAGCTGGGGGAGACACACAATAAGCAATAAGCATAAGTGAATAAATTATATTCTGTGTTAGAATATAAGAAAACTGAGGAAAAAGTAAAGGTGAACAGGTTAAGAGGGACTAGGAGTGGTGGGGGTAAAGGCTGGGTGCAATCATAAATAGCAGGGTCACAGTAGGCTCCATTGAGAAAGTGACATTTGAGCAAATACTTGAAGGAGATGAAGGCAATAACCATCCAGGTATCAGAGAAGAGCATTCCCATCAGAGGAAAAGCCAGTGCAAAAGACCTGCAACAGGATCATACCCAGAGTGTTTGAGGGGTAACAAGTAGGCCAATGTGGGAAGAATAGCAGGAAATGAGATCAGAGAGGTAATGGGATGGGAGAGGGGGCGAGATCTCATAGTTTTGGAGGCTATTGTAAATATTTGGCTCATATTCTAAGAAAATGGAGAGCCACTGCAGGTTTTTAAGCAGAAAAATAACATGATCTGACATCTTTCTCTATAATTATTCTGGCTGCCAACACTACAGAGGGTCAAAAGCAGACTTAGAGAGACCAGTTAAAGGGTTATTCAGTAATACGGGCAGAGAGAATGAAGGTTCAGATCATGGAGGCAGCAGTAGAAATGGTAAGGAGGTGCCTACTTTTGGACATATTTTGAAGGTAGACTTAATAGGGTTTTCTTATGGATTGGTTGCATGGTATGAGAAAAGCAGAGGAGTTAAGAGTGGCACTGAAGTTTATGTTCTAGAATGATGAACTTGCCATCAACCGTGGTGGGAAGGATATGAGTAGGAACAGATTTTATAGGAAAAGAGTATTAATTCAGTTTTGTACATGTTGAGTTTGAGAGGAATATCAGACATCCAAATGGAAATAATGAGTATTTACTGAGCACCTACTATGCAACGGACACATTACTTAACTTTTCTTCCTTCTTTTTGCTTATGCTAATAACCACAGAACTAGAAATTGAAAAGTACTAATTTATATGGAATAACAGAAAGTGTGTAATATACAATAATGCCAATAAACCAGCATTTTCAAGTCTAAAAGGTATGAAATCTAAAAAAGAAATGTAGATGTATACATATGATAGTGATGGGCAACGCCTCAAGGTTCCCCTGGAGGCTGTCCACATAAACCAGCTTAGTTTAAGATTCTGTAAGAGGGGCCCAATAACCATTTATTGATAATGATGCTAATGATTTTAAAGATAGTGCTGGCAGTTTGACCCCTTGTAGAGTGTATTTGAATAGAGCAGACTCTAATGTAGCATGAAAAAGCATAATCAACACTTTTAAAAGTTTGGTTTTTGTCTGGATAGTTAATTTACTTTGGTATTTCAAAAAGAAAATAAATTTAGGTGAGATATTTCTGCATAAAGAGAAACTAATCCTAGTAGATGGTAGGAGCCATGAGTCTCACTGTTGGGGTGGCAGGTTATGCACAAGCAAGGTGGGGGGACTGCTAAAATATTCATGTGTTGATGGATTAAGGTTGGAGATATCAGTATGAATGAACTCATATTTAGTTTAATATTAATACAGTTGGCCAAACATAGACATACACACACACACACACACACACACACACACACACACACACACACACACACACACACACACACACACACACACTAGTATGTCAGCTGAGAGGGCTTAGAACAAAGATACCTCAACAGCAACAAGCACACCCAGCATTCCAGTTTGTGGCTTCT